ATATATCTGTCAGCTGCAGGTAGCAAGTTCATCCAGTTGGAAATCCTTGAGGAATTCAGAAATCCTGGCATGGAAAAGTAGGTGGTATCCCTTTATAATAGATGTCATATGCAGAAGATGTGGGTGGGCTTCTTCCAATTCATAAGGAGTATCTTATTGGGGATCATTATAACATTTCACTTTTATGAGCAATTTTCATTTTGTTCTTCTATGGCATCAGTTCTTCCTCTCTTCTCATGAAACACAGTAGTTTTTCCAATGTTAGAAAAATGAGCTAGCCAACAAAAGGAACATCTCCCAGTCTATATCTTCTTCCTCCTTTAATCACAGTTCTCTAACCCTTTTATAGCAAAAACTATGTGTTACTTGCTTTCTTTTTTCTGCACACTTGAGTTAAACATGTTTTTGCATTGTCATCAAAATTAGTATTGTCAATGTCCCCAGTGAACCCCGCACTGCTAATTCTATATCATTTATATGGTCTTTATCTTACCTAGTATTTTGGAAACTTTTGACACAGTTGATCCTTTTATCTCTTTAAGAATTGTCTTCTTCTTGTAATTTAAAACCTACCAACAAAGACAAGCCCAGGCCCTAATGGATTCACTGTTGAATTCTTCAAGAAATTTAGAGGAGACCTAGTACCACTATTTCTCAAACTCGTTAATGAAATTGAAAGGGAAACAATAATCCCAAATTCACTCCTAGAAACAAGCATTATCCTGATACCCAAATCAGAGAAAGACCCAATCAAGTAAGAGAACTATAGGCCAATCTCCCTAATGAATGTAGATATAAAATCTTCAGTAATATACTGACAAACAGAATGCAGCAAATCGTCAAGAAGATTATAGACCACGAACAAGTAGGATTCATCCAAGTGATGTGGGCATGGTTCAACATGCACAAATCAATAAATGTAGTGCACCATATTAACAGAGCCAAGGACAAAAGCCAGATGATCTTTTCAAGAGATGCAGAAAAGCTTTTGATGAAGTCCAGCCCCATTCCTGATAAAAACCTTACAGAAAATTGGCATAGGTGGTCTTTACCTCAATCTAATGAAAGCCATCTACAATAAACCAACATCCAACATCATCTTAAATGGACAAAAACTGAAAGCTTTTGCTCTAAAATAAGGAACAAGATAAGAATGTTCACTATCTCCACTCTTACTGGGCATAGTTCTGGAAATTTTAGTCAGAGCAATTAGACAAGAGAAAGAGATGAAAGGAATAACAATAGGAAAGGAATAATTTAAATTATTATTTGTGAATGACATGTACTCTACATAGAAGACCCCCAAACTTCACTAAAAGCTGTTAGATTTAATAAGCAAATTCAGTAGCATAGCTGGATATAAAGTCAACACTCAAAAATCAATAGCCTTCTGTACATGAATAACAAACTCACTGAGAGAGAAATTAGGGAAACGACCTTTCACAATAGCATCCAAATAAAGAAATATCTAGAAGTCAATCTAATGAAGGTAGTACTGTAAGCGACCTCTAAATTGAAAACTACTGTTGTCTGAAAAAGGAGATTGAAGAGGATATCAGAAAATGGAAAGTTATCCCTTGCACTTGGGCAGGAAGAACAAATATAGTAAAAATGATCATTCTTCCAAAATCATTATACAGATTTAATGCAATTCTGATCAAAATTCTAACAGCATATTCACAGAATTAAAAAAAAAAAATCCTAAAATTACAATCCCTGACTTGAAATTAAGCTATAAAGCTATTGTGACAAAAATAGTGTGGCAACAAAAAAATAGACCTGAGGATCAATGGAACAGATTAGAAGATGCAGAAAAAACTTCAGACATATTCAGCCATCTTACCTTGACAAAGGTGCCAAACACATTCACTGGGTGAAAGATAGATTCTTTGATAAACGGTGCTGGAAAAACTGGCTTTGCACATGCCTAAGATTATAATTGGGCACATATTTTTCTCCATGTACTAAAGTTGAAATGGACCAAAGATCTAAATATTAAAACAAAGACATTTAAATCTGCTGGAGGACAGAATAGACAAAACTCTTGAAGACATTGGTGTAGGCAGAGACTGTATGAATAAAACCCCAATCACACAGGAACCATCACAAAGAATCAACGTGAATCTCCTCTTATTAAAAAGCTTTTTCACAGAAAGAGAAACTACTAACAGACTGAAGAGACAATCCAGAATGTGGGAAAAAAGTGTTTGCCAGCTGTTCTCAGACAAAGTATTACTATAGTGAATGTAGAAAGAACTCATAAAAATGACACCTCCCAAATTTAAAGACCCAATCCAAAAATGGATATCTGAGATGGTAATACACTTCTCAGAAGAAGAAATATAAACAGCAAATAAATATATGAAAAAGTGTTCAACATCACTGGTCCTTTGAGAGATGCAAATTAAAACAACACTGAGATCCCACCTTATCCCAGAAAGGATGTCTATTATCAAGAAATCAACCAATAACAAATGCTGGTGGGGCTGTGGGGATAAAGGAACCTTCTCCACTGTTGGTGCAACCACTGTGGAAATCAGTGTGGAGGTTTCTCAAAAAAACCCAGGACTAGAGGTTCCTTTGATCCTGCCATTGCCTTCTTGGATATCTTCCCAAAAGAAGTACAACCATGATACCACAGTGATATATGCACACCCATGTTTATAGCAGCACAGTTTATAATAGTCAAATCTTGGAACCAACTCGAGTGCCCATCAGTTGGTGAATGATTAAAGAAGGTGTGGTTTTTTCATACAATGGAGAACTGCTCTTCATAAAGAAGGATACCCTTGAGACATTTCTAGGAAAGTGGATGCACCTTGAGTCCATACTCTTAAGTGAAATAAATCAGACACACATGAGTGAATACTACATTGCTTTTCTGGTATGAGAAGCCAATAGTGTAAATAAGGACCAAAATATATAATAGGTATTGTTAAATAGGCGGAAAATGTTCAAATGAGGAGGGGAACAAATAAAAGGGGACGGAGAAAGGAAAGAAGGGAAAAGTAAAATAAATGAGAAAGGAAGGAAAACAGGGAAACAAAGCTTTGTAAATGGGCATGGAGGAGGGGGTGAAGGGAGGGGAGGAGAATGGGGAAAAACAAGTTATATCGTCTACAGCTATAAATTTCTCTACGATGAATGCAATCATTATGTATATCTAAAATGTACCAATGAAAGTTAATTAAAAATTATTTTCTTTCTTCTAGAACACTACCTTTTCTTATATTCTACTTCCCTCACCAGTGTGAAAGCCTCTGTGCCTAATCAAACTTTGTCTCTCACACTAGATGTTGGAGGGGCCAGGAGTTTAGCTGGCCCTTCTTTTATTTCACTGCATTCTCTCTGGTGAAGTCAGATAACCTGATGTACGCAGGCCCATGCCACACTTGGCACCGACACAAGCCAGAGTACACTTTTGATGCTCTAAGGCAGTTGTAGCGAGCCTATGGCATGCATGCTGCAGTGGGCTGTTTGTATCACTGAAAGCTCTAAAAGGTTCGCCATCACTACTCTAGGACATGCATCTTTGCTGGTTGTAGGGTGGGTCTGGAGGCTCCGTCATCAAGCACTGGCCTGGAAATATCTATGCTCCCTGAGGTGAAGGCCCTGTGGTGGAGACAATTCCTTATCCAACAAGTGGACACTAAACTGGGTCGCTTCTGAGTCTGACAGCCACAGGGACCTGTAGTCAGGGGGGAAGAGTAATGATGTGACCCTGACACACTCCAAGTCTGGCAGTGGTGTAGGCCTAACTTAAGTCCATCCCAGAGATATACAAGTAGCTGTCTAATGCTGGACCAGGTCTGGTGGCTTTGTCTGTGTGTCCTTTGCATTCTCCCTGGTGCCAGGTCCCACCCCAGGAAGGCTGTTCTGTGACCCAAGGCAAAGGCAAATGCTAGCTTTTGTGTTCTGTTCCCCAGTGGGAAAACTCTGGTTCCACACTCGGGTTCCTGGCTGGAGAGGAGTGGTAAAAGAAGTCAGTGGCTTGACTAGTGCAGTTTTGGGGACTCAGTCCGTCCTGGAGAACAGAACCAAGGGGCTCTGCTGAGCAATGGGTTTCATCATGGCAGACCTGGTGCAGTACCTAAGCCCTGGACTTGACCCCCAACCCCCACACCAAGTAAGATGCATCTCTTTCTATGCCGCTCAGAGTTGTTGGGGGAGAGCTCTTACATGGAACTACCCTCCCTGCCTTCATCAAGGTGTCTTTTCTTATTATTATACTAAAACCAGCGCTATGGTCCCTCACCGAACCATGGTCTCCCACCTGGCTTCTTTAGTTCTTGTAGAGTTATTGAGTATATTAATAGCTCTTCAATGTGGTGTGCCTGTAGGGAGAGGAGCACGGGGAGATCTTACTCAATCACTCTCCTCTGCTTCCTTAGAGCTCTGGCTCTTGATCAGTCAAACCAAATGGATCCAATAAAGTCTAAACAGTGAAGATACTGAGGTGCCTAGGGCTAAGTTTTAAATAGGGAAACCCAGAAAGTTGATTCAAGGAATATTTATTCAACAAATTTTATTGTATACCTGTTGTGTGGCAGAGACTGTTTCAGGAGGCAAGAGGGGAAGAGTGAATATTCAACAAAGTCCTGGCCGCGAAGGAACTTCATTCCATGAGAGATGGCCATTAATAAAAACAGCAGAAGCCATATATAATACACCGTTACATACGCAACTTCCATGAAGGCAAGGAAACAGTGGATGGTAATAGAGAAGAACAGGGTCATGTACTATTTTATAAAATATGCGCAAGGATGGTTGAAGTTAGAAAGAAATGGCAACCTTTAAATTAAGAGAATAACAACCCCCCCAAAAAAAATTAAGAGAATAAGCTGTGATATATTTTAGGTGAAGAGAAATCAATGCTTTCAGCAAATATAATAATTGATTGTTATTATATTATTCCAGGAATTATAAAGAAGGTTAAGTATTTAGGAAGTGGGTATTTTCCAAATCACAACCAATAACAACTGTTTTTTCTTTCTTAAAAGGCGTTACTGAAATTTTCTGAACAATAAGGTCATTGGCTGAAGAAGGTGCGAAGGGGTTGATTCAGGAGAGTTGAGTTCAGGCTTTTTTATTGTCTTTCACTAGCTGTGTGGCCCCAGGTGAGTCATCCCAATCTGAACCTCGAATTTAACCTTCAATAACTGATAGATCATAGTAAAATAAATGGAGACTGACATTTCTCAGCACATCACACTGGGTATGTGCACCCAGGGATAGGAAAGCTCCTGTGTGGGAGATAAATTTACTACCTAGTTGTGTTCTCTTCTTTCTGTGTTCCAGCCTCCATGGAAGAGCACTTTCTTTGTACAGTGTGAAATGCTATCCAGTGATGATGATCTGTCATGCATGGACAGTACCATGCTTCTCAAACCAGTGTGTCTTTTTTGGGTCATGCATCCAACAGCTAGTTCTGAATGTATTACATTTTGCCCTGTAACACATACTTACTGTTTTTATATTTTATTTTTTTGGTGGTGATAGTGGTGGTTGAACGCAAGCTTTTGAGCATGAGGAGTGAGCCCTCTACTACTGAGCTATCCCCAGCCCCACAAATACTTTAAAATACTTGTTAATTTAACCAATATTATGGAATAAACTTCAAATTCTAATCAATGAGATTAAAACAAACTTTCAAAGGAATAGCTGTCTTGATTTACTCATATACAACATATGTTGAAAATGCGATTATGTGATTGTATAAGAATGTTACAGAAGTACTAGTTTTACATAGACAAATAGGAAGCAAACTGAGTTTACTGTATTGTATCTTGCCACTCCACCAAAGTAGTTTCTGCTCGGCTTTCGTCACTAGGACTGGGACATTTGGCAGATGAATCAACCCGTATTTAAGTATGTTCTTTATTTTGAAAATGGTGCTAAATTTTTGATTTTCACTTATGAGCTCCAAAGATGTAAGCTGAGCTGCTCTAGTCCTTACCAACCTACAGGAAAAAAATATGTCAGGCCATATTATCTACAATAACTTAGCGTTTGCAGTTAACATAGACTTTACTTGGTAGGTTCCTGAAGCTCTTCCGAAATTTGCAATACATCATTTTCCCCTCATAAATCTGTTCTCTTTCTTTGGCTTATTTCTTCTTCCTCACTGTAGATGTCACTAATTGCTAGTAATGGCAAACATTATTTTTAATGTTTCTTGGACATTCAAATAAATTGTGTACCCGTATCTTTTGCTTATGTTTTAGATGGTTCATTTATATTTTTTATTGTTGTGTGGTTCTCCATGTATTTTGAAAACAAGTTTTTCATTAGTCATATACATTGAAGAAGTATCTTCCCAGCCTTTACTCTCTGTTGACTCTTTGTGCATATTTTCTACAAAGAAATTTAAAATGTGCACACTCAGATTTGACAGAGTTTTCCTCTTTTGCATTTATTAACCTATAGATTACATGCAGAACTGCAAAAGGCTCCCATAGAACTTATCAAGATATGCCTAAAATCTATATGAAAGGGCAAAGACAAAAATATATAAACCTAATCTAAAATGTTTATAGGAAACATTATTCTTACTAGATACCAACACTTAATTATAAATACGTGCATTTATGACTGTTTTACTTCATTGTGAGATAGTCTATATTTTCTTTAACAGCATTACTATTCCTATTTATGTATTTAATCTAGCTAGACATATATTTTGTGTATGATGTGAGAGAAAGATCCAATATTATTATTCTTACATACTTCCTGAACACTTTTTACAGCCTGCCATTCTTTCTTTAGGATATTTATAATGTCACTTTGGTGACAATGCTTTTGTTGAGATGTGATCCTATTTCCACAGTCTATTATTAGTTGATTTTTTTCTTTGCAACTATGAAACTTCTTTAATAACTACGTATTTATAATTAAGTGTTGGTATCTAGTAAGAATAATGTTTCCTATAAACATTTTAGATTAGGTTTATATATTTTTGTCTTTGCCCTTTCAT